CAGAGTCTCCAACAAGCGATACTCTGTATCCCTGAAATCACAACCATAGAGTAGAGAATAAGTGACTGAGGCCAACTGTTTCATTAGCTTTTCCATGTGGCTTCTCCATGTTGTAGATTGTGCACCGCGTCGTCTCCTAAAGTACTGTCCGGCAACCGCGAATAACGCCCGACACGGAAAACGATGAGCGGGCATGCGCAGTACGTGTCCAAACCACCGCAGCCGACGCAGCGGGACGAACTCCTCGAGCGAGTGGGTGCGTCCACTCAATGCAAGCTGTCTAACTTCAACTGGTTATGTGGTGCAGCCACTACATACGGGCAATGGACTGTAAGACAGAGAGACGGCGCAGAACAACGGTACGAACAGTCAAAGTCCCGCAACCGTAAAACAGTGCAATGCGGACAGTCGCACAATAAACCCGCCGGTTGATGGACAGACGGATGCCATGGTGGCGCCACAAGTGTCTAGGCTTAAAGAAAGCAAAACGAGTTCTTGTGACATGCATCGAAATCGCGTCTCCAACACCTCCATCGGTTGTGATGCGACTTCCCAGGTAGGCAAAACTCTCCGTAACCTCCAGTGTCTCATCATCAAGAGTGAGTGCAGGTACGTGCATCTGAAAGTCTTAGAAAGGAGCTTTGTACTTAGATGTGGAAAAGCTATCCCGTAGTTTGACGCCAAGCAGTTGAGTGCAGGTTGGACGGCCAGTGGATCGTCACCCAACAAGACGAGATGATCAGCGTAGTCTAAGTGAACTACTCGGCTATCTCGGAGGAGGTTGACGAATTTTCCAAAGGATTTTAGAGGACATACCCAATACCATGATTGAAAAGCAATGAAGAGATAGGGCATCTTTGTCAAACTCCAGTGGTGACAGCAAAAGAAGGCGAAAGCTTGCCAAAAGCCATAACTCTACCCGAGGTCCGACTGTAGGTAGCATACAATACGGAAAGTAACTTCGCGGGGACGCCGTTCCACAACAAAGAGGGTCACAGTGAAGACCTGTCGATAGAACAGAAGGCAGCGCGGATATCCAGGAATACAACAACCGTTGGTTTTCGGTACACATGGCAGAGCTCGAGGATTTGGAGTGTGAAAATTTGATCGATGCAGTCGCTGCCAGGGCGGAACCCAGCCTGTCCATCCCGCTGTAGCGATTTGCGTATTGGAGATAGCGATCGAAGTATGATGGACAGCAGAACCTTAGAAGCGATAGGAACCAAGCTGATATACGTGTGTTTGGAGGACATTGTCTGTAGGACCTTTATGAAGATGGGGATGACTATCAACTCACCCCAAGATGATGAAACCGCCACTTTCAGTCACACTTCAGAGAACAAAGCAGTAAGTTCTGGAACCAGCGAACGGCCGTCGTCATTAAATTGGGCGGGAAGTAAGCCACCAGGATCCGGTGCTTTATAGCGCTGCAAGAGGGGGGGTTGCTTCCAGAATTCCTGGTAAGAGAGAGGGATATGTGGAGACGGAACACTCAGCAACAGTGAGCGCTCCATGGAAAGCAGATAAAGCTGGTGGCGAGCGAAACTGCGATCCAAAGTGTTCAGCGCATCGTTACAACCGTTGTTGAATATTAGTGATTAGTGAGCCATCCTCTTCGCAGACCGTTACACCAGATCGGAAACCTCCGGTGACTCGGACAAGATGGAAAGGTTTTATGGTAGTATCAGAAAGGCTAGTGAGTTACATCAATCTAGCAATTTCACACCACCGGGTTTCAGGGTCTTTCTGTAGACTCATGCGCAATTTCCGATCAAGGGAGCGTCGTTGTTCACAACAGCTAGAATCGGCCGGGACCGAGCGACGTCTTTCTATTGGCGACAAAGAGACAGCAGTGATCCAACATTTCAGCGGTGATGGGTGACTCTGCAACTATCAATGCTGGTAGAAACTAAGTCATTTTTGATTCGCATCCAATGTGAATTCAGGTCATCATCAGAAGCTGGGGTAAGCAGTTTGTCAGGTAGGCCTGGTACTTCGCTAATGTCGTAGGATCTTTTAGGTTTTCGACGCTCGGTCGGTAGTGTGTACGCATAGGAAACAATGGAACCACTCTACACAGGTTATTTAAACTTGATTGAGCCGCCCCAAGATCGTTAAAAAGCAAGACGATATCGTCCGCATAATCAAGATAAACTAGCCTGTCACCGGGCAGCACCTCAACGCTCGCATCGTGAGATTCAGCAAGGGAACAGTCCATGATGCAGTCTACGATGAAGTTAAACAAAATGGGGAAATTGGAATACCCTGATGAACGCCACTTGTAGTCGGAGAGCTATCCGATATTCCACCGTAGACCCTGACGCGGCCTGTAATGTTCGAGTAAAGAACACGTTAATGGTCACATAGTGCATGGGAACACCTTTTCGCGCAGGTATTTCGAGCAGAATGCATCAGTCGACTGAGTCGAACGCATCGTTTAAGTCGAGGAACACAGCTATTGTCAGCCTGCGGTATTCGTGGCGCTGCTCTAGCACCTGCCGCAAAGTGAAAATATGGCCTATACAGCCAAGTCCTGGGCAGAAACCGGCCTGCTCTTCCCTAATCCGAGATTCCCGTTCTGCAGTGAGGCGACGAACGAGAATTGAGACCAAGTATTTTGTCACTACGGGCGTTAGGCTAATAACCCTGTGATTCACACAGTCTGTGCGACTACCCTTCTTGTATATTGCCACTATAATCGATACGTACCAATCCGCCAGGACACTCTCTTCATTCCAGATATGTTGGAATAGAGAGGTCAGTGCTTTGCAGAGGACCTCACCTCCATCCTTAAGTAGTGCAGGTGGGAGGAAATCCAGGCCAACGGCACGAAAACGATTGAGAGCTGTGATCGCGTTTCGGACCTCGGCCTCCGACTGAGGTTATAAACTAACCGTCCATGGCTCGTCCTGTATCACCTGAGTAGGAAGAGGTCCGGGAGCAGGGGGCCTGCTGAACTGGTCTTGAAAGTGTTTTGCCCAACGAGCCATACAGCGCTCTTTATTGTGTATCAGAGTACCCGCGCAGTCTCTGATTGTCTCATTGACGTCTGATTTCCTGGAACCAATGGGGCGGATGAGTTGAAACAGTTCGCGATAATTGCCCACTGCTCTTACGTCCTCTATTTATTGAACCCGACTGGTCCACCAGGCATCCTTGTAAGCACGCAGGCTCCGCTGTAGTTCACGCCTAATAGCCCGTCTGGTCACATTGTGTTCAGAGCCAGCCGGGAGGTGTCTTCTAGATTCCAACAGGTTCACCGACCTCTCGGATATCCAGTGACTGGTGCGGTGACCATTGATAGTGCCACAAGCAGATGCTCCTGCGTCGTGCATAGCGGTCGTGATACTATTCCACTGAAGTTCAGTGTCAGTAGGACAAGACAGCGTAAGTTCGATACGCAGTGCAGCTTTGAAAGGCTTACCTGATCGATGGCTGAGATAACTTCCCAGCTGCCAATCGGAGCAGGTGCTTGGTAAAGTTCACGGAAAATCGAAAGCGCACAAAGACATGATCAGAGTCGACTTAAGTACTCCAAAACGAGCGGCAATCTAGGATGGAACCACGCCACCTGTAATTTATGGCAATATGATGTATTTGGGGCCATCGCTGGCCAACTACAGGAGGACGCCAAATTGCACTTCGGCGGCCACTGCATCTGAAAGCAGTTCTACTAAGAAACAACTGGTGTCCGCCCACATTTGCGAAAGACGCTCTCCGTTGTCCATACGGTTGGAGTTAAGTCCATAGTTGCCACCTAGCGGAGCTTCTGAAGAGCTCAGAAGCCCTACTTGTGCGTTCATATCCTCTGCGAGTACCGTGATATCTGAACAGGTAGCACTGCGTAGTAGGGCGTTCAGTTCGTGGTGGAATGTCCTTGGCAGCATCAGAACAGCGGTCGTTGGGAGCATAAGCGAAAAAAAAACAGACAAACAGCGTCTAGTGCTAATCCGTGAACCATCCATAGTTGAAGTTGCTAAACTGCTGCACACCAACGGCTGTTCACCGGAATCCAATCAACCAATGGTGCCTCAGCCATGGACCTGAGTGCGATACCTACTCCAGCTTGTCCAGAGGCTGCTGCATCAGTCTCCGAATGCGTTCAACCAATAGCGTGAGGACAAGCCGGGAGCAGTTAACTCAAAAACCACTTGAGGGCCACTGATCCTAGTTTCGGACACACAACACACGTCAATACCTAGCGTGTCTAACGTGCCTGCGAGTGCAACCTGTTGACCTATTTGTCTCAGAATGCGAAGGTTGAACGCTGCCAGAAACGAGAGAGTGTGGCATTATAAGCAGCTGTTGGCGAGTAGTACCCAGTGGGTGGTGTCGGAACATCGCTGCAAATGGTTCGAATGAAGTGGCATTACGGCTGCAGTTAATTAAGCTGGGAATTCTAGAGGGAGGGCCAGTAGTGGGGGTTGGGAGTATAGTAAGAGAAACAAGCGGAAAATAAAATAGGAGACATCAGCAGCATAGTGTTTTCGCTTATCCGCATTGTTGTATGCAGAAGATAAGGCGACGATTGTAAAACTGAGCGCTGGTCGTTGCAGGATGTGATTGAAGTTTGAGGAAGTAATCATGGCTGTATGTGCGCTGATACTGCCAGGGCATCTAAACCTAGACAGGAGAACGATTAGGGCCTTCAGCTGAAGCTTTTGGCTCAAACACCTGCCCGCAAAATCAACGAGGTAGCAATCATTTGGTTTTAAAGAGATGGAGGCCATCCTATTTCCGACCTATCTAACTGGAGGACCAGGGGACTGAGTTGGCCATTGACCAGCCTGGCAGGAGCAGCTCTCGAGGGGGGCCAGGGACGCCACCAAGAAAAGCCCAGTATCGAAGAGGTGCGCCAATCGTCGCACTATGTTAAGGTCCAGTCCCGTCGCGGTGCACAGCCGCTTAACTAGACGGCAAGGTCGGTGGATTTAGTTGAGCGGCAATGAGTTTTACAGAGTATAAGCTCAGAGGAATGAAAAACAATGCAAAGGATTTTCGAGTAAATGTTAGCACAGTAGTTATTGATCGGTGATGTGAAAACAAGTACTACGAGCTTCTAAGCAGAAGAAACGGCAGAACATGAGTTGCAGACATGCTACCATAAAACAGGGGGGGAACAGATCCAGAAGCGTAGGATAGCTAGAAGCGACGCCAAAGCAACCAGCGTGTTAATGCAAACTACGTCTTTCTGAAAATGGACCGGATTTCTTCGCGTGGCTCAACAGTCATCAAGTATTAGAAAGTTGTTAAGTGATTTGATCCAATAAGCAATCTGCAAAAGATGGCCATTGAATCGCAAACGGGGATCAAATTACGTCATAAGATGAAGGAAAACATGAAAGCAGTGGTCTATAAGAAAAACGATTTACAATGGGGCAAAAACGTTAACTTTACACGCATACTCGTTCGAGCAGCACAGAAGCAGTGCTCGTGGGTTTGCTGTTGGTTTTTGCAGCAGAAGTATCGGAGAGCTGAACGATTGGCATTCTGCTGGCAGACGTAGATGGTGTCGAATCACACGGATTTTTGCAAACACTTGTGGGATTATCCTCACCAGGTCGCCAAATCAAAAGCCGCACGACACTGTTTGTGGGTCTCTCACGTAGCCACGCGACTGTGCGTGCCTGTCCAAGGGCATCAACATCCAGATCGCCAACCTAAAACAAAAATTTGATTACATACATTCGATGAAAAGGTAATGAAAGGAGGAATAAACATATAACGCGAAATAAAGGTAGCTGTTTAATAGGATGCGCCATATAGATAACAAATATTAAGGACGGTGATGTTGAACAGTTAAAAAGAGATCTTGGAACCGAAGTGCAGTGGAACCAGTAGCTACAAGTTACATCGCCAGAATAACAATGAATAAAAACGGTAAGAAAATAAGGTCGAAAACACATAGAATAAAAAGAAAACTGATTCAAATAGGTGCGTTAAACTAGGCAGGATGGAATGAAAATTAAGAGCTAGATGCAAGAAAATGAATACAAGAACGCCAATGACTGCGCGAATTCGACGTGTCTGATAGAGTCGCCAACCACTGAGGTGGATCACTCCGCGGCTTCCATCAACAAAGACCGCACGCACCAATCTGACAAAGTCTCAGTTAATTACTTTATGCCTTTGCGCCACGTAGTCAACTGGTTCCTTCGCGATCTCATCAAACGTGGAGCATAATACACGACGAGGAAGCCGGTCAACGGACATACAGAGGATATAACCTGGTCAAAGTAAGCGATTGAGCTTAAACGAACACTGCAGTGAGGCTCCAGAGGGCTTCCTGCAATAAACCAACTGGCGGACGTCAGTATGCTCACCCGGTTTTGCTACAAGATGTGAGCATTACTCTGCGTGTACCGATGACGGAGCACGGTCCTCAGTAATGTGGCCACCGAAAGTGACAGTTACCAAGGTAAGTGAACCGACCTACAGCTTCCTGTGGCTGTTCGTTTGCAGATATCGGTAGTCCAGCAACAACATTCTGCAAAGCACATGCGGAAGCGTGCAGCGCAAAACGTCAGTCTATTCAGTAGTGCTTGAGTATCCAATGTGTTTGATCCAAGGTTTGCAAGTCAGTCAACTAGCAGTACATCCTCTCACGAAATGTCTGCAAAATGGAGTCATTCAAGACCATTTTGATCACAAAGCTGTCGTAGTTCACTTACCGTGGGCAAGTCGGGAGACACTTCTCCATGTACCCTTACGTGGCTTCGGGAGTCATAGTAAAGCGACTTCAGAATGGAAAGGAAATTTGCTGGCACGTCCTTCACAGATAGGCAGTGCCCCAAACTGCTCGAAGTGCTTGACATCTAGCCTCTGACTCAACAGTCTGACCCACAAGGCAATGGAAGAGATGAAAGTTCGCTTAAAGGATTCAAGCAGGAGCCTTCGACTCAATAGCCTGACAAATAATGCAGTGAGGAGAAAGCCCAGCTCGGGTGAATGATTGCACAGACTCATAAGCATAAGCTTGAGGTCTGTCACAAACAGACTTTGGAGATTTAGCACAATTCACATTTGTATAGGACCGTAGCAGGTTACATACATGTGCCTCATGCCGAGGTTAGTGTTGCATATATCATGCTTCTCCACCGCAATTGGACTACACCGAACTACACTCACACTAGATATGCCTAATCTGGATAAAAAGTATTCCACTTTACGTGATGTGCTCAATTCTGTGATTTCGCTGCAGATTCCGTGTTTATTTTCTCGCAAATCCCATATTGGTTATTTGATGGCCCCTGAGGTGCTACACTTGATGAGAGTGTTGACAAGGTGCCTACCTATCAAACACCTTCCACCTCGAGTAGTGGCTCCTGAAGACTGTGAAATGTTACTGGGAGAAAAGGGTGCACGATCATTATGGCTGCGCTAGGCTCAAAGAAAGGTTCCATTCAGTCTGCAGCAGACTAGTGCGCAGCCAAAGCCTTGAGTACGTCTGGTATGCATGACACCCCACATAAATGGACAGTAATGCTTCAGCTGCGCAAATTGCATCGTGGGCCAGCTCGGTCGATGGAACGTGGCTCATATCCACATGCCTCTGGTCTCATTCCTTCGATAGGACACTGGTTATGTGGAGTGCGGATGGAGCTGTGGGTGGTAGAGCGCAAGTCCCCATGGGTTCTCAGTAGGCGCAAGCGTCCTGTGACTGCCCTCATGGAGACCGCAATGGCAGACAAATCGGGAACCAGATGCCGAAAACCATGTTACGTGTCTGCGACCAAGGAAACGGGCAGGTGGAAGTTGACTGGTTTGTAACAATTGACCAGGGGCTGCTTGGCTTCAGGCGGACGGTAGCAAACCATTAAGCACAGGGTGGTGCTCACTTGCCATCGGAAACGGCGATACACTCGTACTCTACGCCATCAGAGCTGTGCGCTTTTAATCCGTCATCTGTTGTACCACATGGCTAAGAATTTAGGGAAGAGGCCCAACGACCTACCAATAATTTCCGATGAGCATAGTGGAACTGATTTAGTTCGACCTTTAACCATTAGTCTGTTTGATATAGGCAGCTATAAAGGCACTCGGAAAATTTATCTCAGCATCGCGGATGTAGCAAACAACTACACCGGTCTCGTCGCGATGGGTGATGTTGGTAACAGGGAACGAGAGGTTGATTTGGTGTGAAAGGGTGTATAGTCAAACCAGGACAATTACGGAGTGTGTAAAAAAATGACATGGTTGACTTGAAATATGTTTGCTCAGCTTGACTAGGCAGCAAATAACTCATAACATAATAGCGTGGTTACAGATAAAATCGGACGGAACAGTCAAATGTCACGAAAGATACTAAAATGAGACAACGAAGTCGTGATAACCATAACAGCTAATATACAGTCGCAAAGAAAGCATATGGTTGCAGGTTAAATGAAGTATACTTACCTGGATTAATCGATCGCCAGCACGTAACCGGCCATCTACTCGAGCGGCCCCGTCTAGTAAGATGTTCTTGACGTATATAGCTCGGCCTTTCGTGTCCGGCAAATCACGACTGGTGAGACTGAAACCTAGTCCGGAGGTACCTGCGAAGGCATGGGAATAAAAACGGTCAAATACGAAGTTGAGCAGAGCGATATAGGGTGTCACAAAGCAAATTCAACACGGCATAAACACCAAGCGGTCAAAGAGTAATTAGCAGGAATATTTTTGATGAGACGCACACAGTGCGGATGAGCTGCAGCACATGACTAGTGCACTGGCCACGGCAGCGGCCAAATTCGGGCTCACCATCAACCCAAGCAAAACTGTCCGTCTCTTTCAGCATTCAATGGAAGTGGAATCTGCAATGTTGCCGCAAATCAGCATTGGTGATGACACCATCTCCCGCTTCTGCCACCTTGGGAGTGTCGTCTCGACTGACCAGCAGATACACAGTAAGCTTCAAATATGCGTATCAAAGGGAGCGGAGGCATCCGGGAAGCTTGAGTACCGCATGTGGAACAGCCATCAGCTTACCGTTGGTAGGAAGCTGATGGCCTACAAATCCATGGTGCTATCCATTCTTCTATACGGCAGCGAAACGTGACGATGTACCGGTGAGACGTGATAACTCGAGCGGTTCCAGCAACAGCGTCTGCGCATCGATTGGTGCGACAGAGTTGCGGACACGGATGTGTTGCGCCGAAGTGGAATGTATGCAGTGGACTGCATACTTTTATTCAGACATCTGAGGTGTATCGGTTATGGGTGCCGTATAGATACGACGCGGATACCGAATCAGCTATTATAGGGTCAACTGAGTGTCGGGAAGCGGCATGATCAAAGTGAACCTCTCATGTTCTAATCTTGATTGCAAATCATGGGAATGGAAAGCGGTTGATCGGCGTGCATGACACTGTTAACGACAAATCGGGCATGGAATGTGAGCAACTTCTAGCGCAACTGGATCAATCAAAAAGTCAAAGCCGGAAGAGCTAAGCAACTCCTAGAGCGCCACGTAGGCGTACAGGTACAATGCCTAGTTGAACCTCTTGTCGTGAACCGGAGGCAGTACAACAGCTGCTCACCTTTGGCTGCGTGTCCTCCTTGCGTTCCAGGTGCAACAGTGAGTGATGGCGACCTCTGAAACCCGACTGCTCACATCTATCGTTCAACGTGCAAGAAGCGATCAAGTGACCACCATGGAGGCATTTGTAACATCCCTTCCTTTGTTTCATTAGTTCCCATCCAGCGGGTACTCCGCAAGCCAAAAAAACTCACTGCAGGACGCGGTGCCATGTCGACAGTCACAACGTAAACAAGGTCCATCCGGTGTCGCCTTGAACTTCGTGTAGTGATGGTTCATGGTCTCATTCCTTTTACGTATAGGAATAGGTGGACATTGGAAATTAAGCGGTCTCATCTCAGTCATCGATGCAATCTGGCCAAACCTGTTGCGCATAATGCGAGCTTAAGAAGAGAGAAGTTCACTAAAATACTTGAACCTGATTTCGCCCTTTTCCTGTAGGATACTGTCAGCTGTTCGCGCCCATCGTGTCTTCATGCTTGCTGGCAAAACGCGTAAGACTCTCTCGATGGTTGCAGTCCAGTCAAGGTCAGAGAGGATACCCAGCTGACTCAAAACTATGTGGCACTTTTCTATTTTCAGAGAGAGAGACGAGAAATGGCTTCATCATCATGAGCGAATGATTTTAGCTCTCTCAGGAACCCAACAATAAGTGATCTACCAACCATGTGACTGACGAAATAAATCGTGAAGGATCGTTTTAGCCCTGACATAAGCTTGGTCTGGTGGCAACATGATACACTCACTGATGGCTTCTTTCGCCCGATTACGACAATAGCACACCAAACACAAAAGACGCCGACCACTGTCTCGCACACCTATCTCAATAAAATATTCAAACTGTTTCGTAAACTTCCAATGAGTGGCAGGATTATTATCAAAATATTCGAGTTCTACCTTTGGAAGGTCCAGCTGACAACGATCAGCAATGGTCTGTTCAACAGTCGAAGATAAGTGCTCGTGTTCGCGTGGAGGTCTGGCATGCTTCAACAACCGAGGTAGGTCTTTCACACCACTCTTTTATACCATCAAACTGCTCGGGTGAACCGTTACCGGGCTTGGACTCCTCCAATAACAAACGCCTATAATGCTCGACCTCAGCTTCAGCCATCAACCGCTTCTCTTTCCATTTGGCCAGTTTCAAGGCAATATTTGAGGCATTAGAAACAATATGACCTCTGCTACTACCACTAGACCTATGACTAACAGGCAAACTAGAGCGGGAAACTGCGTCATCCGTGGTAACAGCATAAGGTTCAACTTGCCCAGTCTCGCCAATATTAAGGAGGTTCATTCTTGACTGCTTACTTGTTGATGCCATTGAATTATATCCAACGTAGTACAAAGAATCCTGGGTTGTTTGAACATTTCAAACGATCACGAAGTTCGTTGCCAAAGTGCAAGAGAAATAAATCATGCATGTGGAGAAGAAGCGGCAAGTGCGGAAGCCACAGGCGCCGATGGGTTGTACTCCATCGACCTCGAGCGCGTGGTGCTGTGGTACATGCGGTCGCGAGTGTCTGAGTCAGGCAGGCCTAGTGAGCCATCAGCGAGGTAACTCAGGGCGACCACCAAGCAACGACAGGACCCGCTGAGAATGTAGGCAGAACCGGCGCAGCATTTGTAGGTACGCTGCATTCGATTTACTAACCGGTAGCTTGCATGTTGAGTCCCTTTATTTCAGGTGGAGGGATTACTATATTGCCTCACTAATGTCTTCTAATAACTTGCACACGTCGTTCAAGTTAATTGTAGTTAACTTTGATATCATTTTCGCGTTTGTGGCATTTTCTTAAAATATATTTTCTGACGTCTTGAAACTATAGCGGATATGTTGAAAACTTATTTCATATCCTTATTTATTAAAGACCTATGTCGGTGTAATCGGCAAATTAGATTTATTTGACTTGATATTGTCGTTTCAAGTGATTGGCTGTTGCTTGATATCACCGGTGTGACTGCGCTTGATGTGTATGTTGACAAGGTGCCTACCTGTCTATTACCCACTACCTCGTCCATACTGGCTCCAGGAGACAGTTGGTCGTTGCTGGAGAGGACGCGGTACATGGTCCTTGTGGCCATGTTAGGCTCGAAGAGTGGTTCCATGCACTCAGTGTGGAGCGGACTACGGTCCAGCCACCGCCTTGTGTGTGCGCTTGATTCCCAAATACAGCGTGCTTGCGTTTGCCTGTGAAGGAGTGTGAGACGGCTCCGTTAATAAAATCTGGCTCCCACAGACATGCCTCCCGGAAGAAGAGTGAGTTTCACAGAATTCGACAGCGACTGACCCGAGAGCTCCGTCGCATAAAAAATGCATGGTGGACAGAGAAGGCGAAGCAGATGGAATGCTACGACGAACGTCGCCAACACAAGAAATTCTTTGAATCCTTAAAGGCGGTGTATGGACCGAGGTTGGGACCACAGGTGACGTTAATCAATGGTAGCGAGCAATTTTTAGCTTGTCGGGGTACTTCGCCTGGCTTTGGCGAAAAAAGGCGGACGTTTGGTAACGATGTGCTATTTCGCGGCATCAGTGGTAGATGGCAAGGATGCCATTGCACGGAAGACTTGCGGGAACATGGTATTAAGCGTATGACCGATAGTTGAGCTCGATTGATTGGTTTATACAGGACTGATTGACTTAATGTCGGTCAAACTACCTATAACTGCCAGTTCTGTTTGACGATCGATCAGACGGCGTTGCTTCTCGTCAACAAGCAAATCGAAGTGCTGCAGAAAGCTAAGGCGAAGAATTGGTGTCTGGACATCTGCGACAAGAAAGATCCATTTAAAAGAACATCGTAGGTTTAAATTAAGCGTGCACAAGCGTTGACCGTACACGAGAATGGTCGTTTCGTTGACTACGCACAGTGAACTAATCGCCTTCTCATTCGGGTCTTTCTTATCGCCAGAAGGGACGCTAACTTCGGCGCCAGTGTCCACCAAGTAGCGGACTCCTGTTTCTCGATCAGTGACAAAGGAAGGCGACTGCGGCAGTCAGCACCGTCCTTGGCCCCTACGTGCTCGCCGGCCCGTTTCTCTGCGTCTAGCGGTTGAAGGAACAGGACGGGCGACACGACCTGACCTGTCGACCAAATCGCTCTTGGTACCAGCAATAGGTCGACGTAGGCGGAGATTTCGAACGTGACCTGGAACGACTGCGACTGGTGGAACGATTTAGGCGATTGGATCCGGGCGGTGTTAGGTTCTCTTGTGGATTGGTAAGTGGCTCTACTTGCGCTCTTAGTTCTGATACCTCCGTACTGAAAGTAGTATGACCCTGGGAAATTTAGGTGTTGGAATCCCAAATAGGGTCAGTAATTTGGCGAGCTGGGAAAGAGACGCATCATTTGCATGCAGGGAGTTAGGTATGTCAAGTGGCAGGCGACGAAGCTACATCTCTTTAAGAAAAGAGTCGCCAACAGAGAGAGGCTTGGCTAGAGTTTGCATCTTGCGCAGCAGCTGAGAAGGTTTTCGATCGCCTTGTTCGGTTTCATTAAGGAGCTGCGTAGTGCAACCGTGGTCTGATTCCCCAGATTGCTTTAAGACGACAGGCTTAAGCTCTTCGTAGGTCTTCTGAAATTCAGGAAGTTCTAAAATGTTGTCGTGATCATCGAGGAGTTGCGGAGGAGCGCACCGATAACGCCGTAAAATTTGGCACCGTAATGCCTAACGCCACATATTGAAAAATGAATTCTAGCTGAGTAAAACACGACTAAAAATTGCTTGCCTGTTGCAACGAGATTGGAACTTAACGTGGTGCGACGGTTTGCGTACCTCATTGACCCATTGACCTATACTGGGTGATGCTTCCAGGCACCTTGAGAGCTACTCCTACCAGGTTGGTCGATGGTGAGAGGTCAGACAAACTCAGTTTCCTGGTCCAACAGGTTGGGGGTTTGAAATGGTATGGCGTCCATTTCTGTAAAACTAAATCACTGCCACCCCGCTGCCTTGCGGACAGGCTTTTGAGCCAAAGGCTTTGGATGAAGACCCTAATCGTCCTCCTGTCTAGGT